AGTATTCTTTTTTTTTTTTTTTTTTTTTTTTTTTGAGACAGAGTCTCGCTTTGTTGCCCAGGCTAGAGTGAGTGCCGTGGCGTCAGCCTGGCTCACAGCAACCTCAAACTCCTGGGCTCGAGTGATCCTTCTGCCTCAGCCTCCCGGTAGCTGGGACTACAGGCAGTGCCACCCATGCCGGCTAATTTATTATATATATCAGTTGGCCAATTAATTCTTTCTATTTATAGTAGAGACGGGGTCTTCGCTCTTGCTCAGGCTGGTTTCGAACTCCTGACCTTGAGCAATCCGCCGCCTCGGCCTCCCAAGAGCTAGGATTACAGGCGTGAGCCACAGCGCCGGCCTTAAAAATCATTCTTATTGGCCAGGCGAGGTGGCTCACCCCTGTAATCCTAGCACTCTGGAGGCCAAGGCGGGCAGATTGCTCAAAGTCAGGAGTTCAAAACCAGCCTGAGCGAGACAGTCTCTACTAAAAAAGAAATAGCCTGTAATCCTAGCTCTCTGGGAGGCGAGCAGGCGGGATTGCTCGAGGTCAGGAGTTCGAAACCAGCCTGAGCAAGAGCGAGACCCGTCTCTACTATAAATAGAAAGAAATTAATTGGCCAACTAATATATACGAAAATTAGCTGGGCATGGTGGCGAATGCCTGTATTCCAGCTACTGGGGGGTGAGGCAGGGAGGATCCCTTGAGCCCAGGAGTTTGAGGTTGCTGTGAGCTAGGCTGATGCCACGGCACTCACTCTAGCCTGGCAACAAAGCGAGACTCTGTCTCAAAAAAAAAAAAAAAAAGAAATAAGAAAAATTAGCCGGGCATAGTGGCACATGCCTGTAGTCCCAGCTACTCAGGAGGCTGAGGCAGTAGGATCACTTGAGCCCAGGAGTTTGAGGTTGCTGTGAGCTAGGCTGACGCCATGGCACTCACTCTAGCCTGGGCAACAAAGCGAGACTCTGTCTCAAAAAGGAAACAAACAAACAAAAAATCATTCTTATTTCTATCAAGGTGATCAAAATAAGACTAATTTGTTTGAAAATAACTATTGAAGCCTGGGCACAGTGGCTCATACCTGTAATCCTAGCACTCTGGGAGGCTGAGGCGGACGGATTGCTCAAGGTCAGGAGTTCAAAACCAGCCTGAGCAAGAGTGAGGCCCGTTTTACTAAAAATAGAGAGAAATTAATTGACCAACTAAAATTATATAGAAAATATATATATATGTTTTTAGTTGCCCAGCTAAAATCAGAATTTTACATTCATAAGTGTAAATTTACTTTGCTTTCCAATTTGTATCTATCAAATTCTATCATAAAGGCCCGGCGGTGGGGTGGCTCACACCTGTAATCCTAGCTCTCTGGGAGGCCGAGGCGGGCGGATTGCTCAAGGTCAGGAGTTTGAAACCAGCCTGAGCAAGAGCGAGACTCCGTCTCTACTATAAATAGAAAGAAATTAATTGGCCAACTAATATATACACACAAAAAAATTAGCCGGGCATGGTGGCGCATGCCTGTAGTCCCCAACTACTGGGCAGGCTGAGGCAGCAGGATTGCTTGAGCCCAGGAGTTTGAGGTTGCTGTGAGCTAGGCTGACGCCACAGCACTCACTCTAGCCTGGGCAACAAAGTGAGACTCTGTCTCAAAAAAAAAAAAATAAATTCTATCATGAAACCAAAAATATCTTGAAAATCAAATCTGTTTTCAGTTTTTGTTATCTTAGAAACAGCTTTGAGCTCTGGAAAGATGTTTTTAATGAAAAGTAAAGAAATGATTTGATGTTTCTCTTCGATTTCGAACAACATTGGGGAAGTAATTATAATTTAAATATACTTTATAAAGCAAAATATTAATAGGTATCAAAGGTTAGGAATTTTTAAATATAGTTATATATTTTCATTTCTCTAAAATAAATACAACTTTTAAAATAAGGAGGAGGAATTAGATGGATTGCATTTAAGGGAAAATATTTTTAAGATATAATATTTTATATTCAAAAGAAAGATAGGCCAGTGTTTTTTATATGGCTCCTCACTGGAATAGAATCAAAATGGAGCAGAAGGAGAAAATGTCTTGATATTAAATATTTTAGTTAAATTTTCAAAACTTATAAACTATAGCTTCTTCTAGAAAGAGAAATCTCTCATACCTCTTTTTTTGCTTCTAATATTCTCAATTCATTTCATGAAGAAATTATCCTGACAAAGAAAGCAGAGAATATATCTATAAATAAATCCCACTTTTAAGCAAAAGTGAGAAAAATCCTAAAGGAAAACCCAGGAAATTGGGATAATTCATTATAATTAACCCTCTCTACTCAAGGTATCTGATATTATTGAAATATTCAGAAACAGCGTGTTATGTAAGCTAAAATCATATATCTTTTTAATTTTATTTTTCTGTTGTTTTTCTATTTTCACCAGGTCTGCTTCCAGACGTACCTTCTTAAAAATTAACACTTAATATAAACTCAGTAAACACAATTTAAGAGCCATCCCTTAACTTAGGCAATGAAATAAGATGGAATTTAGCAAGAAGCTTTTTTTTTCTTTTTCCCTATCAGAAGAGTTAAATGGTGAAAAGGCTTTAATATTTTAGAAAAGTATTATATTATTATTATTTATAAAATCAACTCAAAATTACTCTTGTTTGCTTATAAAGAAATGTTAAGTTACTAGAATTGAGTACAGTTCGGTGCCTTGATATGAGATATTTATCCAAAATTATTAGACCATCTGTAATCAATAATAAATTGGGGGCCGCTCGTGGTGGCTCACGCCTGTAATCCTAGCACTCTGGAGGTTGAGGTGGGCAGATTGCTCGAGGTCAGGAGTTGGAAGACAGCTCTGAACAAGAGCAAGAGCCCGTCTCTACTATAAATAGAAAGAAATTAATTGGCCAACTAATATATATAGAAAAAATTAGCCGGGCATGGTGGCGCATGCCTGTAGTCTCAGCTACTCGGGAGGCTGAGGAAGCAGGATTGCTTGAGCCCAGGAGTTTGAGGTTGCTGTGAGCTAGGCTGATGTCAGGGCACTCACTCTAGCCTGGGCAACAAAGCTAGACTCTGTCTCAAAAAATAATAATAATAAATTGGGAATACATATTCCTTTCTCAATGGCAACAAAAAAAGAATGTAGGCATAACTATAGTGAACGTATACAACCTATATTTCCCATTTCATGTTTTCTTCCTATCAGGTTTGTACTTTAACACGAGAAGATAACCGCTCATTGGGTGTTATTCCTCAAGATGAGCAGCTCCATGTGCTACCTCTTTATAAACTTTCAGACACAGATGAGTTTGGCTCAAGGGAAGGAATGGATGCTAAGATCAAATGTGGGGCTATTGAGGTCCGCGCACCCTGCCCCAAAAAAAGAAAACGTTTCACTCAGCCTATTCCTCGTTCTGGGAAAAAGAGGGCTGCAATGATGACAGAGGTTCTGGCACATAAGATAAGGGCAGTTGAGAAGAAACTCATTCCTAGGATCAAGCGGAAGAATAACAGCACCACGACAACGAACAACAGTAAGGCTTCCTCACTGCCACTCTTAGGTGAGTCCTATACAACCTGCTAATTTTCCATCTACAATTTTTTTTTTTTTTTTTTTTTTGAGACAGAGTCTCACTTTGTTGCCCAGGCTAGAGTGAATGCCGTGGCGTCAGCCTAGCTCACAGCAACCTCAAACTCCTGGGCTCAAGCGATCCTCCTGCCTCAGCCTCCCGAGTAGCTGGGACTACAGGCATGCGCCACCATGCCCGGCTAATTTTTTCTATATATATCAGTTGGCCAATTAATTTCTTTCTATTTATTTATAGTAGAGACGGGGTCTCGCTCTTGCTCAGGCTGGTTTCGAACTCCTGACCTCGAGCAATCCTCCTGCCTCTCACTCCCAGAGTGCTAGGATTATAGGCATGAGCCACCTCCCCCAGCCTCCATCTACAACTTTAATTGGTGAAAAAGTTTGGACTTTCCTTTTTGTGTTATTTTTCCTGTCCTTTATCTCAGTTATTGTCTTAGTGATGAGACATTATGAAAAAAGAAATTTTAGAGCAAATATTAACTAACTCATTGTTCTTGAATCTAATTTGTCATTACTATTATAGTTAGGGTTTAAAACTCAGACACTAAGTATATTTCTACATATATGCCCAAACTAAAAGTCAACAAAAAAGTGACCCGTTAGTATTTCTTGGTAATTTTTTCTACTTACTTTTTTTTATATTTTAACATTCTTATCATTGTTCCTATGACTTTCTCATATAATTTGAAGCCCTACTCATTTTTCTTGGTATAGATGAATGACATGACTTCTTGGAAGCCTTCCTTGATTACCTTTAGCATTAGTTTTTTGTTGTTATTATTGTTTTGGTTTTCGTTTAGTAATACAGTAAACAGATATTACTAAACACAACTTTGAAGCCCTTTGATTTTTTCTTTTTTTTAGTATCTTATGAAAACTGTCAATGAACTTCTTTCAACTGTTTTAGGTGTTAGAAAAGCTCTAATGAAAGAGAAGGTAGATACTGCTATAAGAGATTTTCTACTTAAATATGGCTGCTAAAAAGGGATCCACTGTGAATATTGCATTTGAGTAAAGTCCTAAAGGAAATAAGAGGGTCAGCAATGTTAATATTTGGAAAATAATATTCTAGGCAGAGGAAATGTCAGGTACACAGGTTCAGAGGCAGGACTTTACCTTGACTGTTTAAGATGTGTAAAGGGGCCAAGCGTGACTGAAGCAAAGTGTGAAATGAGCAGAATAGTAACAGATAAGATCAGAGTCATACGAGGGGTGTGTGAGCAACTCACCCCCAGGCTTTGTAGACTAATATAAAGATGCTGACCTTCGTTGTAAGGAGAAGTTTACTGCGGATTTCAGAATAAAGCAGGGCTATGATCTGACTCAAACGTAACCCTCTGGTTAGTGGGTTGAAACTATAATAAAAGCAGGCAGAGGACGGAAAAGCAGGGAGATCACAGAGACTATCATAACAGTTCAGGAGAGAGAGGATGGAGAATGGACCAGAGTGCCTACTGAGGAATACATGAGAAATGTCTTGCTTCTGGTGGTGTTTTGAAGGCAGAGACAACAGGATTTGAGAGATTAAACGTAGAGTGTAAGACAAAAAGAAGTGGCAAGTGTAACCCTGATGTTAGAGGCCTGAGGGAACTGGAAGGATGCAGTCAGCAAGAGAAGTGGGGAGAGAAGAACAGGTTCGGAAAGATAGATGGTGGGAGATCCGAAGCTCATTTTGGGACGTATCAATTTCAAGAACTTATCAGGCATTCCAAAGGGTGTATTAGGTAGGCAGAGAAGTTCAGACAGGAGTAAGTTCAGGCAGGTAAGCAGCATAGGGAGAGGATGGATGCCAAAAAACTGAAAGAAGGATAAGAGCAATTAAAGAACAAAACCTGGGAATTCTCAATTTTTAGGGGATTCAGAGACGAGAAGGAAACAGCATGGAAAATTTAGAAGATCTGGTGAGATAAGAGTGAAACTAAAGATTGGTATTTTAACGAAGAAATGACCGACTTGTCATGCTTCTCCTTTGTCCAGTGATGTGAAGACTAAAATTTCCCCGTTGATGCAAAGGCTATTAGAGGCCCTGCAAGAGCAGATTCAGTAGAATGGTGGAATAGAGAATGGATGAAAGTGGATTTATGAGGAAATGGAAGAGGAACCGGAGAAATTCTTTTCGTTGGCTACAAAGGGGATCAGTGGAATGCTGTGAAGGTTATAGAGTTTAGAGGAGTTTTTTTTAACAAAAATGTTAAAAAAAAATGTACAGGCTGGGCACGGTGGCTCACGCCTGTAATCCTAGCACTTTCGGGAGGCCTAGGCAGGAGGATCACTTGTGGCCAGGAATTCAAGACCTGCCTGAATTCCAAGATCAAGATCGGAAAAAAAAAAAAGACTCGAGCAAAAGCAAGACACTGTCTCTACGAAAAATAGAAAAATTAATTAGCTGGGCATGGTGGTGCAAACCTATAGTTCTGTCTACTTGGGAGACTGAGGCAGGAGAATAGCTTGAGCCCAGGAGTTGGAGGTTGCATTAAGTTATGATAATGCCAATGCACTCTAGCCTGGGCAACAGGTCAAGACTCTGTCTTAAATAAATAAATAGATAAATAAATAAGAAGAAAAGAGAGAGAGAGAATAGAAAAGAAAGAAAAATGTTCAACTTATCCCATCTTTGGTCTATAGAAACCTCTTAAGATGGCTTCTTAGTTCTTTTGTCACAATTCCAGCAGTCTTTGCTAGCTTTCCTTGCTTCTGTAACAAGATGTACCAGGTTCATCTTAAATAGTTCTGCTCTGTATCTAAAATCAGCCATTTCTCTAAGGAGCTACAGAAAAAAATTACATCCTGAACTTACACTGATATTCAAACTTAGAATTACAGGATATTCCTTAGCTTCTTTTATTGTTACATTGATAAGAGAAGTTGTTTTGTTTTTGTCAGATGAGAGAAATGACAGTACAGGCATTTATATAATGATGGAAAGGATTCAATACAGAGAAATAATAAAGAGGCAAAGTGGGAAGAATTTTTATTCCCACTCCTTGTAGCTCCTTTTTGCAGATATTTAATTTAGGTTTATTTTATGATTCACATATATAGTTCTATGTTACTTATAAAGAGCAACCATATCATTTTCATCTTTTTTTTTTTTTGAAAGAGAGTCTTGCTTTGTTGCCCAGGCTAGAGTGAGTGCGTGTGTCAGCCTAGCTCACAGCAACCTCAAACTCCTGGGCTCAAGCAATCCTGCTGCCTCAGCCTCACCAGTAGCTGGGACTACAGGCATGCACCACCATGCCCGGCTAATTTTTTTTCTACTAATATATTATCAGTTGGCCAATTAATTTCTTTCTATTTATAATAGAGACGGTTCTCGCTCTTGCTCAGGCTGGTTTCAAACTCCTGACCTTGAGCAATCCTCCTACCTGCCTCCCAGAGTGCTGGATTATAGGCGTGAGCCACCTCGCCTGGCCTCATTTTCATCTTTGTGTCATTCCCTAGTAGCATGCTGGTTAAAATGTGAATTATTTTGGATGTCATCTTTTTTTTTTTTTTTTTTTTTGAGACAGAGTCTCACTTTGTTGTCCAGGCTTAGAGTGAGTGCCGTGGCGTCAGCCTAGCTCACAGCAACCTCAAACTCCTGGGCTTGAGTGATCCTTCTGCCTCAGCCTCCCGAGTAGCTGGGACTACAGGCATGCGCACCCATGCCGGCTAATTTTTTATATATATATCAGTGTGCCAATTAATTTCTTTCTATTTATAGTGAGACGGGGTCTCGCTCTTGCTCAGGCTGGTTTGAACTCCTGACCTTGAGCAATCCGCCCGCCTCGGCCTCCCAAGAGCTAGGATTACAGGCGTGAGCCACAGCGCCCGGCCTGGATGTCATCTTTTGACTATTTTCTTACAGTGTATTTCCTGATAATAAAGGCCATAAGTACAATGGCCAACAATCTTCTGTTCCTTTGTAATTCTACCCATCCCTGTTTTTAATCTTTCCTTCCTATTATTTACTTTCTATTGACAACTTAGCCTCTATAATAAATAATAGAGACCACCATGATAGTAGCACAGGTTTCCTGATGTTCATTGCGGGTTTTAAGTAATGAGGAATGTCATGTCTCTAGTCGTATCATCTGAGAAGAGAATTGCAGATCTTTGAAGTTAGTCAATGTTTACTACTATTATATATTATTAGTTATTTTAAAATATGGCTACTTTACTTTTCTTTTCTTGGTCTCCAAAATTTGCTGCTTATGTGCTTTCAAAGATTTTTTAAGGGCCGGGTGCGGTGGCTCAAGCCTGTAATCTAGCACTCTGAGCCGGAGGCGGGCGGATTGCTTGAGGTCGGGAGTTCGAAACCAGCCTGAGAGAGACCCTGTCTCTACTAAAAATAGAAAGAAATTAATTGACCAACTAAAAGTATATATACAAAAAAAAATATTGCCGGGCATGGTGGTGCATGCCTGTAGTCCCAGCTACTTGGGAAGCTGAGGCAGGAGGATCACTTGAGCCCAGGAGATTGAGGTTGCTGTGAGCTAGACTGACGCCACGGCACTCACTCTAGCCAGGGCAAAAAAGTGAGACTCTGTCTCAAAAAAAATGTTCGCCGGCGCGTGTGGCTCACGCCTGTAATCCTAGCACTCTGGGAGGCCGAGGCGGGAGGATCGCTCAAGGTAAGGAATTCAAAACCGGCCTGAGCAAGAGCGAGACCCTATTTCTACTATAAATAGGAAGAAAATTAATTGACCAACTAATATATATAGAAAAATTAGGCTGGCATGGTGCCGCATCCCTTTAGTCCCAGCTACTTGGGAGGCTGAGGTAGGAGGATTGCTTGAGCCCAGGAGATTGAGGTTGCTGTGAGCTAGGCTGACGCCACAGCACTCTAGCCTGGGCAACAAAGTGAGACTCTGTCCAAAAAAAAAAAAAAATATTACTATATAGCTATATATACTGTGTTTCCCTGAAAATAAGACCTACCCATAAAATAAGCCCTAGCAGGATTTCTAAGCATTTGCACAATAGAAGCCCTACTCTGAAAATAAGACCTAGTGATGGGCCTAGCTACGCATCGTATGTGCACAAGTCATGCATTTCATCGTGGAGCAGTAAAGAAGACGATCAGTCCTTCTCATCTGCCCCATGAGAGCTCTATTGCTTGACGTGAGGGATTGGGATCAGTGGTTCTAAAGAAAATAGAGTCGCAAGAAAATCACGATGGAATTCGAGGTTTGGAGAGTTATGATGATATTCCAGAAGAAGAGGACTTAACTATATTTGAATAATAACACATCCCCTGAAAATAAGCCCTAGGATGTCTTCTTGAGGAAAATTAAATATAAGACCCTGTCTTATTTTCAGGAAAACACAGTAGAAAAAATTAGCCAGACATGGTGGCCCATGCCTGTAGTCCCAGCTACTCGGGAGGCTGAGGCAGAAGGATTGCTTAAGCCTAGGAGTTTGAGGCTGCTGTGAGCCAGGGTGACGCCACGGCACTCTACCCCAGGCAAAGAATGAGACTCTGTCTCAAAAAAACAAACAACAACAACAACAACAAAAAGTTTCCATTTAATAGGAGGTTTGTATGGTTCTGAGCAAATAACTCACACTTACTAGTATGATAATAAGGATCTACCTAATTAGTGAGAAAGAAATGAAGCTGAAATGCTTTTGCTGTTGAGGGTTACAGAGTTTTATTTCAACTAAAAATTTTTTGTTTGACTTCCCTCTGCCTAATATGTGACTTTGCCAATTATGATGCTTTTGCCCCAGAAATATTTATAAACTATTACTTATTTTTAATTTTTGGAAAATAAAGTCATACAATGCTTAAAATATATCTAAACATCTCTTTAAATAGTTAAATATTGTTCTGTGTCATAATATTATAGTACCTGCACAATATCCCAATGTACACTTGTATTTTTTACTTCATAGCCAATTAGATCATTTCTAATATTGTACTATTTTAAACAATGAATATCCATTCTTTTGGCAGAATCTTTGCATTTACTTGTGATTACACGCCAAGGGAAGAATTCTTTAAGGAAATTTGTTGGGTGAAAAGCACACCAAGCTACATATAATATTTAATATTCAATTCTGTGTGCCTTTGAGTATGATTACAAACAAGTAGGACAAAACTGGCCAACATCCATGTCTTATTATAGTCTCTGTACTTCTCTTATAAAAATACCTTTTAAAGACAGCAGCTTCCAAAAGAAATTTGTATTTATCTTCACATTTGGTGTCCTTTTCTCTGTTTAGGGAATAAAACTGAGACGGTGCAACCTGAAATAAAAAGTGAAACGGAACCCCATTTTATCTTTAAAGGTTCAGAAAACACTAAGAGCTATTCCCTGATGCCATCCACTCCTCACCCGGCAAAGGAGGCAAACCTATCTCCAGGTCTCTCCTGCTCCCCAAAGACTGCTTCAGCCACCACAGCTGCATTGAAGAGTGATGCAACAGCCTCGCAGGGGTTTCCAGAAGGAAGTAGCACACCCCACTGCACGACGCCTCATGGAAGCCACAGCGGTGCCAATGCAGCTGCTGGGGAATGCACTGGAATTGCACAGCCTGGTGAAGTGGCTCCTCTTCCTGCCCTATCTGCACCTGTGACGGATTCCTTGGTGTATGCTGAGCCTCCCACTGGTCCACTTGAGCAGATAACTTCTCATCAGCCAAACCAGCAGCCCCCAATCCTCACATCCCCTCATGAACTTGCTTCCTCTCTGCTAGAAGAGGATGAGCAGCAGCACTCTGAAGATGAGCCCCCGTCAGATGAGCCCCTCTCTGAAGACCTGGTGTCGCCTGCTGAAGAGAAGTTGCCCCACATTGATGAGTATTGGTCAGACAGCGAGCACATCTTCTTGGATGCCAATATCGGCGGGGTGGCAATAGCGCCTGCACACGGCTCGGTGTTAATTGAGTGTGCCCGGCGGGAGCTTCATGCTACGACTCCTGTCGAACACCCAAACCGTAATCATCCTACTCGCCTCTCCCTTGTTTTTTACCAGCACAAAAACCTGAATAAGCCCCAACATGGTTTTGAACTAAACAAGATTAAGTTTGAGGCTAAAGAAGCTAAGAATAAGAAGATGAAAGCCTCAGAGCAAAAACACCAGGCAGCTAATGAGGGTCCTGAACTGTCCTCTGAAGTAAATGAATTGAACCAAATTCCTTCTCATAAAGCATTAACATCAACCCATGACAATGTCGTCACCGTGTCCCCTTATGCTCTCACACATGTTGCAGGGCCCTATAATCATTGGGTCTGAAGGCTTTTCTCCCCTTCTTAATGCCTTTGGTAGTGCAGTGTATTTTTTCAAGGTGCTGTTAAAAGAAAGTCTTGTTGTGGTTTACTATATCTTCATCTCACCCATTTCAAGTCTGAGGTAAAAAAAAAAAAAATGGGGTGGGTATTCTTAACTGTGACTATATTTTGACAATTGGTAGAAGGTGCACATTTTAAGCAAAAATAAATGTTTTATAGTTTTAAATACATAAAAGAAATGTTTTGGTTAGGTGTTAACCTTGATAGAATCACTCAGTTTGGTGCTTTAAATTAAGCCTGTTTACTATGAAACAAGAGTCATTTTTAGAGGATTTTAACAGGTTCATGTTCTATGATGTAAAATCAAGATAAACAGTGTTAACTCTACACAGCTCCTGGTGCTTAACCACATCGACACAGTTAAAAATAAGCTGAATTATTATTTCATGGTGCCATTGTTCCAACATCTTCCAATCATTGCTAGAAAATCGGCATATTCCTTTGAAATAAATGTATGAAATGTTTTCTCTCTTAAAATATTTCTCCTGTATAAAATAACTCATTATTGTTAGTAATGGTTGGAGGCTGTTCATAAAATTGTAAATATATATTTTAAAAGCACTTTCTATTTTTAAAAGTAACTTGAAATAATAGAGTATAAGAATCCTATTGTCTATTGTTTGTGCATATTTGCATACAAAAGAAATCATTTATCCTTGCTGTGTAGAGTTCCATCTTGTTAAGTGCAGTATGTATTCCAATCATATATATGGTTTGTTTCCTTTCACATTCAAATATTAGCAACTTACAGTATATAAAATAGTTAGCTAATGCAAAAATTGTAAATTATGTCTAAAATTGAAATTAGGAAAAGTATCACCAATATTGATTAATATTTTCTTTGAAACTAAGTAACGGGGGGGGGGGTCTCTTCTGGCTTATTGAGCAACAATGGCCTCAATTTACTTTCATCCCAGCTTTCTCAGTATGACCCATGAAAGGTGTTTACAAAAGGAGATGATGGGACAGAATAGGTTTAAGAAGAATCAAATGCTTCTACTGTTTGAAGGTGATGAAATGTAAAATTAAGTAGCCAGAACTTCACCCATCCCAAATTGCCTTATTTGTTCTGAAAGTCTGATTTAGAATAAGAAAAAAATTCCTGTAGAAATCTTTTTAAAACAAATTTCCTATTGTCATCACATATCTATCCTCCACCCAGACTCCAGTTAAACAGTAGAAATGGCTTTGTCCATTAAGAGCTAATCCATTAATTTACCTTATTTATAGGCCTATTATATTTGGAAAAATCATAACTCATCTTCTCTGATAATTGCCTATGTTCTAGATAACAGGAACATAGACATTCTATTTATTTTAGTCTGTCCATTATTTTTTCCCTTTGCTTTATTGACTCAATTAAGGTAAAACAAAAAAGATTACCCAAACAACATGTTTAGAACAAGAAGAACTTTCAATGAAATACTTGATTCTGTTAAACTGCAGAGGTGCTATAACATTCACAGTGTCAGATTCCTTGGGAGTATGGAAAACCTAATGGTGCTTCTCCCTTGGAAATGCCATAGGAACCCGACAACCGCTAACACTCAAAATTTTGGTGCAAAAGCAAACAGTTCCAGTAAGCTCTCTAAAGAAAAACATGTTGTAACTTATTAATATTAAAAAAATATATATTGTGCAAAGTATCAGTTTCAAGCTTTTGACTAATCCAAGTAAAGGAATATGAAGGGATTGTAAATAACAAAATGTCCATTGATAGACCATCATCTTGTACAAGTAGATTTCTGCTTCTTGAATATGTAAAATAGGGTAATTCATTGACTTGTTTTAGTATTTTGTGTGCCTTAGATTTCCGTTTTAAAACATGTATATTTTTGTGAGCCTAAGGTTTCTTATACATATAAGTATATAAATAAGTGATTGTTTATTGCTTCAGCTACTTCAGTAAGATATTTACTAGTATTAGACTATCAGGAATACACCCTTGTGATATTAGGTTTTAGATTTTTAGGCCTTAGCTCCCACTAGAAATTATTTCCTCACCAGATTTAATGGATAAAGTTTTATGGCCCTTTATCCATCCACCCATCTGTTCATTCTTCCACTCTACACTTATTGAATACCTGAAAATTTTAAGTACCGTTTTTGTTTTTCTTTGCATTTTTTATTTGTTCTTTTTGGTTTTATTTTGTTTTGATTTTAAAGGCTAGTCAAATAAAGCAGTGGGAGCGGGGAAGGAATAAAGAAATCTATAACTGTTTATGATCAATGAGTTGTAAACACCACTGCATTCTTACCAGCCACTTTTGTTTTTCTTTGAATCACCTCCTATGATATAATAAACTTGAAGAATTAAAATTCTAAAAGATACCCTTATAAACATTTTTAAAAGAAATGGCAAATTACCTTCAAAAAATCCATGGTAATATATCTGTCATAATTCAAATAAATTTGTCTCTAACATTAAAGAAGTTTCTCAATAATCTAAACTTTAAATACCAATGTTAATTTTCGGGACTAATGGGATTTGTGAAACTTGTTGCAGCTTGCCAAAACAAGTATATGAAAATATCTAGTCTCAGCTAAAATGTTTCCATTCCATTGTTATAATTAACATCATGAATGGACTGCCTAACCTGATTATTCCTTTGTGGGAACCACATTGGATTCCTACTTCGTTGGACTATATTTCCTAATTTTAACAATTTACCATCCCATTCTCTGATTTTAAAACAGCTTATGCTTCTTCAATGTTCTGCCACATTGTGATTGTATGCTGGCTACATTGCTTTTAGAATGCTCTTTCTCATTGAAACAAGGAAATAAATTTGTTTGAAATGACAATTTCACTCATAAAACTGGTCATCTAACATTATTTCTTCCCCTCTATTTTGTTTTACTGTGATAATCATCTTATATCTGTTGCCTAGGATTCAAATTGGGTTTTAAATCTTCTGCCTTTGTCCATGGTATGATCATTGAATTCATTGATACATGACCTCCAAGGTAGCCCATCCAGTTTATATAATATGCTACAAAGTTACCGACCATGAGAGAATAACTTCTGACTATGATAGAATCCTACAATATACCATGCTGCCCCTCAAAATTCCATTTCTAATGGCTGTTAGGCCATTGTTGAAATTTCTTGTATTTGTCAGCTTCACCTACATCTTCTTTCCAATTCATCCGCAAAGTACCAAATGAACCATGTCATAAACATAATTCAAATATATTATTGGAAAGTGAAGCTGACTGAAAATGTATAGCTGTAGGTAAAATATCGCAACATGTTTATCTCTTATATAACTTTCCAACATCTTTGTTATTCAATCTGCATGTGGATGAAATTTTTTAAAATACAGAACGTCAGCTAGATAAAATCCATAAGCAATTTACCTAAGACATAATCCCAGTACATATTTAATTGAATGCATACCCTGTGTAAATGAGCCACTGTCTTAATTTACATGAAGTAACTTACTTTCTAACATTATTACTCCAGGGGACTCCTGCTGATTATCATTTCACAATAGCATGTATGAGAGTGACCCTAAACTACTCTTTTTAAAACAAAAATTATATTGACTTTTTAATCTGAGACAAAGTTATGACATTATTGCATGACAATTTCCACCAACAATGGGCACAGCATTTAGTTTGCATGTGCCAGCTAAATCAGTAGCTGTATGCAACCTTTAATATATAGTTACCTTCAATTTCACACCTTAATGCATGGAAATCTTTTTTTTTTTTTTGTCTCAACCTAATACAATGGTGAGTTTTGATCTTTTGTAGAAATTTACTGCAAAAGAATTGTGAAATAAGGTAATATGGTAGTGGCCTCTCACAATTGTGACAGCCACCTTAGAAGTCTCAGTTCAATAACTGGGCTCCATAGAGCAGATGTTAATGTCAGTTTGTAACTATGATTATAATTAGACTTTAAGCAGATGAAGGCCACTTTGTGTTTAAGAGAACTGAAGGAAAACTTGATTCTCTCACCCAGAGGGTATTTTATCACTGAGAAAAAAAACAAATTTCAAATGCTTATATAGTATAAGCTTTCAATTCCCCTGGAACTTGTATTAAGCATGTATAAGGAGTTACAAAGAGTGGATTTCTAAGCAATTAAAGAAAGCATATTTCCACTGTATATACTACCTAGCCATGATTGTACAGTCCATTCACGCCCCTTTCCTAGTTGGCCTCACAAGTAAGTCCCTGCATAGTTTATTTTGATGTGGTTGTTGACATGTATTGGAATACTGTTTTGTTGTGCATAGCTCCTAAACTTCCCCATAAGTGTGCTGAACTTGTAATTGTAACACCAGTCATATCACTTAACTGAGTGATGTAATCAGTACCTGATTGCTGATGGGATCTGGATTTATCCAAATTAAATTGTGCTCCATGTTGAGCTTTTTGCTAACAGCTTTAGAAAATGATGTCATCCATGGCTCTGGAATGCAATCAGAAAGTCAGAATCAGTATGTCCTTCATGAGAAGCGAAATTTGTGTATTTTTGAATGTATTGAGATTCATTGGCATGTTTTTGGTTCTCTTATGTGTGTAAAAATAGAAACCGAATTCCTCTGCTAATTTCTGAGACTTTAGAGCTGGCATTTCTGCAGGACATCACTATTTTGGTCCTGGTTGAACTTTACAAACTTGTATTCTCTGCCTTCCAGTATCTGGATGACTTTATTTTGATCCCTGTTTCATTTGGGCTCCTGATCAAATACCACTGTTTGTTTCAGAAGGCATATATTTTACTGCCTCAAGCAATCCAAAGGTATTCCTTATTTTGCCACGCCTCATTTTCACTTTATTTTTAAGGGCCTTATAGTGTGTTCAAATTTCTCTTTTGGTAATATGCGATATTTAATATTTCTTTTTTCATAATATTTAATATTTTTAGCTCTAAAATTCCATCATTAATCTTTTCCTTGTTGACTGTACTCCTTTCCCACCCTTACTGCAAAACCCTGATCCTGCCTGGGTCGTAAGTTTTCTGGTTCGTTCACCTGTAGATGTGCCCTATGTTAAAGCAAAACTTCATCTGAGATAGGAATATAAAACATTAGCTGATGTAACCCATTTATGTTTAGTACAGCTTTGAAAACACTTGGTTAACAATATAAACCTAGTTTTCCTAAAAATAGAAATTTTGTCCCTAGCAACTATTATGTAAGGCATTCTCTCTTATCCTGTTCTTAAGAAAGAAATCTTGCAGCCATGAGAAAGATTTTCATTTTAGGGGAAACAGTATTGGAAAGTAATTTGGTTTCTTCCCCATTTGGCAAAGTATGAAGCTTATAATCCTTAACCAGCAACTCTACTTGTTATTTTTATTTTCTCATTTTACTGAAGCTGCAGTGTGACTAGGTGCACTTTCATTTTTTTTTTTAAGTTTTAATTTTTTCCCCGATTGTCTTTAAAATTATCTATTGCTTCCTCATTTCTCTGTCCTGTCTCCATTATCCAGATCCTCTACCTGAATAAACATAGTTCATTTTAAGAAGAGCAGTGATCTTGATCAAGTTGTCTTTTACTGTCTTTTAAAACAATGTCTCAGAAGTCCTTTTAGGTATAATGCCATAAAGAATCAAGAGCTTTCATTCAACTCTTTTCAGGTATAGGCAGATTCAGTTTTTAGGAGTAGGTAAGTAGTCACAAGACCACAGGTTAATAATCTGAATGCTCTCCCCCAATAATGTTTAACTCTTTTTATTAGTGTTTGAGTGTTTTATAAAAAACTCTATAAGATGTTAAATACTCTTAAGTCTATTTCTGTATGGCTTTGTTATTTCTAATGTAAATAAATATATCCCTTTGGAATTCTTTGGTTGTTGGCAATAATAGGAGCTATTCTATAATCTAGATGAGAAAGGTTAAAAAATGAACTGAAAGTAATTGGAAGAGGGAATATGAAAGCCATCAGATGCTGTGTTTTGAGCATAATAAAGGGAAATTAAGGGACAGAAAGGAAGGAGAATTGTGCTCCTATCAGTAATCTGAGGGTTTACTAGCTCAAAAGCAAGAAATACTTTTAATATTTCTTCTGTCTACTCCACAATAATTTTATCTGGAAAATTGCTGAAAAATGAGGAACCATTTTGAAAGCAAATATGATAGTAATAAAAAGTATAATCCTTATACTTTATGATGTTTTAGGTTATCAAGCTGCTTTACAATGTACAACTTTTTCTCCCCAATACTTAGGGTTAGACAGAGAACATTGTTCCTATAGGTGAAGAACCTGTAAATGTCAAGAATAGCAAATGGCTTGCTCCAAGTAACACAGCAAGTCAACCAATCTGAGACAAACTTTTAATATCTGCAGACTGCTAAATGCATTTCTGTACCATGAGCAATGACTGAGTGTTATTGAGTAGAAAATTTGTCAAACCTGATCTGAGCATAATATAAAATATTATTTGTAAAACATGCTTAAGTATTTTGTTTCCATTATTAATTTAGCCAGCTATTATTCTCTTCATGCATACTAAGGAAGGTCTCCCCAAATTCCCCAATTTCTCCATTAAGGTTTAGATTTATGAAGTTTTCTATTTTTTTCCTCCTTAAAAAAAGCTCTTTCTATAAAGATCATCCCTCTATGACTGAAACAGGGGAAATCACCTAAATAATATCTTTTAAAAAAATATTGCTTTAAAAAAGACTAAGGTCAGCACATCACAATCAAAGTTTCATGTATTAGTTATGTTGAAATGCAGACTTCTTAAAGAAAATGTGCTAGGTAAACATCATAGTTCCCAGCCCCTTGTGGTAAAAATGCAAACTTCTTGTCAGCATCTCTAAAAGAGAGTACTGTCTCCCACTTATTTGAATTTGTTTTGTTTTGTTTTGTTTTGTTTTGTTTGTCCTGCTTTGTTTCCAGTCAAGTAAAATCTTTGGGTCAAAGGATGAACATACCTTTGCCCAGAGACTTAAGAAAAATAATGAGATATATTTGTAAAGTTTTTAGTAACCTCTTTATAGATATGAATATGAGCATATTAATATCTATGAAGAAGCAGGTTATTTTGGCTATCCCATTAGCACATTCTGGGTCACAATAAAAAAAAAAAAAATAGGCCAAACAGCTCTAAATACTCAAATTCCCCCTCTGGTGATTGAATTCAGTAACTGCCTATCTTCGTCAATGCCTGTTTGTGCTATGATAAAATGGCCGACAACTAGGACTTTACAAAAATAGCTCTTTAAAAAGAAAGATTAAATATTTTTTATTGCAATATATGTTCATTTTTTTAACTTTTATGAGATAACATTGTGATAGGTGCTTTAAGAGAAAAATATTTTTCCAGAAATGGTTTATAATAAAAACTAATGGCAGCTTTTGCATTGTGATGTATGGATGGATTGTCATATTTGGATTACTAAGAAATCCTGAAGTGTTCCCTAACGAAAGACTTGCAAAACTACTAAGTAAGAAGAAAACATCAATTTCTAGTTTGTTTATTTTCTCTCATGCTATATGGTTATCTACCAAGTAAATTTACCTTGGTTCAAAGGAGAAGCCAGAATGCTTATCATTGATGGGAGTAAAATATTCATAGATTCTTCACCATGGTGAAATAGAGTTGTGCTGAATTCCCAATATAGAAACACCAATTTTATAGGTTAATATTCCTATCTTCTTCCTGACTTCTTTCTCTCATTGGGGTATATTTACTATTTATTTTTTTCCCTTTGATTTTTTTGCTTGGAGGATTTATTTTTACCTATTGCCGTCCTACTGTATTAAATATTCTATACAATGAAATAACTTAGCAACGAAATGCTTTTAAAACTCCACAAATGTCCATTTTTAATTTTTAACACAAGCGGGAAACAGTTTAAAGAAAAAGCACTTCACCATGTAGAAGGGAAACAGATAATTATGATGATTTCAATTCATGATCAACAATTAGTCCTCTGCAAACAAGGGAACACTTACTAGCAGTACTTGAAGACTTGTGAGTTGGAATTGCATGTTACTTGAAAGATCTTATTAAGCTAAATTTTGGTGCACAGCAGTTGTACATGATTTCATGTTTATGTAGCAAAATGCATTGAAATGTATTAGTATTGAAGCATACATGTAAAGATAGTTGTGGAAATTGTTATATTTTCCTTGTGTGTCTCATTTGTTTAGAGCATAAAGTTTTTTTTTAAATTGTTCTAACTGAATAAGGCTAAATGAATACTGTAATTGAAAATATATTTTAAATCTTTGTCATGAGTTTTTTAAAAAACTATTGCAAATTGTATCATTCCTGATTACACAGAACTTTGTGGGTGGTTTTAAATAAATTTTATACTTCTATTTTGTACCTGATAGTCTAATTTTTCTTTCCTCTTAAAAATCATATTTTAAAATTTTAATATCCAATAATATTCACACATTTTAACTACAAAGGAGTATAAGATTTAATATTTGGAGATGACCAAATGTATGGATGTGTTCAACACAAAACCAAAATGCCTAGCATTTATGGAATCCTTATTATATTCCAGAATCCTTGCTTTTTATGTAAATTATTTAATTCCTATGGTGATGGTATTAAGTAAGGACTTTTATCAGCTCCATTTTATAGATCAATTCTGAAGCTTGACGTGATTAAGTTCACAGTATTAGTAATTGGCAGAGCTGTTGCTCAACTCATGTCCTAACTTAAGTTTATCATTTCAATAAACTTAATTCTGAATGCAGTTTGCCAACAGTATTTTCTTTCCTGTTCCTCCCTTATGCCCTTCCTCCTCTCTCTCTCTCTCTCTCTCTCTCTCTCTCTCTCTCTCTCTCTCTCTCTTTCTCGTTTTCTGTCTTTCTTTTCTAAGATGAGGTCTCACTATGCTGCCCAGGCTGGTCTTGAACACCAGGGCTCAAGTACTTGATCTTCCCACTTTGGCCTCCTGAGTAGCTGGGATTATAGGCATGTGCCACTGTGCCAAGGCTCCTGCCAATAATATTTTAAAGGAGACAATCTGAAGTATTTTTCAAAGCATGAAGTAAAAAAATACATTGGCCATAGGCTCTTAGTGCTATCACAATAAATATTTTTTTTTAGTAACAGGAACAACTCCCCACCCCGGCCTCACCTCCTTCCCAAGTTTAGATGGGCAGCTAAAGTACATTTTCAGAGAATGGAACTTCCCCCTCCTTTCTGGCTGGTTAAAAGGAAGACATGGTCACATGAGCTGAGCTAACCATACAGACATGGCATCACTCTATGGCATGGCTGAACAGCAAAATAGAAGGAACCTGGATCCCTGGATAACCCACTTCCCTGAACCACCTATCAACTTGGTGTAGTATATGAGCAAAAAATAAACACTCTTTCCCATTATTTTGCCCCCTATTCAATAGCTCACCCAATATCCTAATTAGCCATCCACCCCATAAGACAACTGTCACGTTTTCCTAATCTTCTTCAAGCCAAATATATAGTTGCTTCAATGTTTCTCTGGTGATAAGGTTTTTAGGCCTCTTATCTTCTTTCACTTTTTTTAAAATTTGAATTTGCTATTTATTTTAAGCATCTAGGTGCAGATGGGTGGAGGCTAAAAAAGGCATCCACCCCGCTTATCTTCTTAATGCTCTTCTAGACAACAGCCTGAATAATATTTTATTTATGTATTTATTTATTTAGAAAGAGTCTTGCTTTGTTGCCTGGGCTAGAGTGCCGAGGCATCACACTAGCTCACAGCAACCTAAACTCCTGGGCTCAAGGGATCCTCCTGCCTCCGCCCCCCAAGTAGCTGGGACTACAGGTGTGCACCACCACGCCTGGCTAATTTTTTCTGTTTTCAGTTGTCTGGCTAATGTCTTAGTTTGTTTGTTTGTTTGTTTGTTTGTTTTTTGAGACAGAGTCTCACTTTGTTGCCCAGACTAGAGTGCCATGGTGTAAGCCACGCTCACAGCAACCTCAAACTCCTGGGTTCAAGCGATCTTTCAGCCTCAGACTCCCAAGTAGCTGGGACTACAGGCATGCACCACCATGCCCAGCTAATTTTTCATTTGTAGTTGACTGGCTCATTTTTTCTATTTTTAGTATAGACGGGGTCTCTCTCTTGCTCAGGCTGGTCTTGAACTCCTGAGCTCAAGCAACCCTCCCACCTCAGCCTCCCAGAGCTAGGATTACAGGTGTGAGCCACCACGCCTGGCCATCTTTCTATTTTTAGTAGAAACGGGGGTCTTACTCTTGCTCAGGTTGGTCTTGAACCCCTGACTTCAAGCGATCCTTCCACCTTGGCCTCTCAGAGTGCTGGGATTACAAGTGTGAGCAACTATGCTTAGCCCTGAATAATATTTTTTAAACAGAGCTTGAAGCATGACATTCCCCTACTTAAAATGGTCCCTTGACTTCCCATTATACATAGTATGAATCCTAACTCCTTACTTGGCCTGCAGGGATCTAGGTGACCTGGCTTGTGCCAACCTGTGTGCCTCCCTTTACCATTCTCCAGTCACCCTGAGCTTCTACAGTTCCTTCAACAGGCCATACTTTTCTCTGATTCAAAACCTTTGAACTTGCTGCCTGGTTCTACCATCAGATCCTCATATTGTTAGCTCCTTCTTGTAGTTCCTGTATCAGCTCAATTGTCATTATCATTTGTAGTGATACAAATGTACATAGTGTTCAAGGATGTGAATGTCCCATAATTTTATCATTCATTTTATCATATGATAATTTTATCATATCATTTTATCATTCCCTATTATTGAACATTTTCATTACTTTAATTTTTTGTCATAATAAACCTTACATTGCTGGATTAAAGACTAATGCACCGGCCAGGCACGGTGGCTCACGCCTGTAATCCTAGCACTCTGGGAGGCCGAGGCGGGCGGATTGCTCGAGGTTGGGAGTTCGAAACCATCCTGAGCAAGACCCCGTCTCTACTAAAAATAGAAAGAAATTAATTGACCAACTAAAAATATATATACAAAAAAAAAAATTAGCCGGGCATGGTGGTGCATGCCTGTAGTCCCAGCTACTTGGGAGGCTGAGGCAGGAGGATTGCTTGAGCTCAGGAGTTTGAGGTTGCTGTGAGCTAGGCTGACGCCACGGCACTCACTCTAGCCAGGGCAACAAAAGTGAGACTCTGTCTCAAAAAACAAACAAAAAAAACTAATGCACCATAATTTTTAAATTTTTAAATTTAATTTTAAATTTTTTAAAAAATTTAAGTGAAGAAATGCCATTATTATGAAATTCAAAAAGTACAAAAGGCATTCGAGGGAAAAAATGAATAACCATCCTGCCACTGTTGCCAAGTGTTTATACTCAGGACATTCAGCAACAGAATTACAAACTGAAAGTGGTAATTCTTTTTTTTTTTTTTTTTTTTTTTGAGACAGAGTCTCGCTTTCTTGCCTAGGCTAGAGTGAGTGCCATGGCGTCAGCCTAGCTCACAGCAACCTCAAACTCCTGGGCTCAAGCCATCCTCCTGCCTCAGCCTCCCGAGTAGCTGGGACTACAGGCACGAGCCACCATGCCCGGCTAATTTTTATATTATATATATTAGTTGGCCAATTAATTTCTTTCTATTTTTATGGTAGAGACGGGGTCTCGCTCAGGCTGGTTTTGAACTCCTGACCTTGAGCAATCCGCCCGCCTCGGCCTCCCAGAGTGCTAGGATTACAGGCGTGAGCCACCACACCTGGCCAACTTTTCATTTCTTTTTTTCAAACTAACTCAAACAATAAACAGTGCATTTTCAGACATAACAAGAACTCCATTCCATCTGATACTTTCTTGGAAAAAAAAAAAAAAAAAGAACTCCAGAGATCAGTAATTCCAGTGTTAATAAATTCAGTAATTCAATGATATCAGAGTTCCAGATCTGTTTTTCTGCAATTTTCATGGTCTCAAGATAGTTGCAGCAATTCAAAGAATCATGACCTTTCCCAACTTTACCTAAAAGTATGGAAAAAAGGTTTCTACTCCAGTTTCTTTCTAATTAGAAAACAAAACCCAGAAGCTACCAATATACTTCTCCTTATGCCATTAATTACCATAATTGGCTTATACCAATCAATATTTACCTCCTAGGGCTAGAGAGGCCTGCTTCTCCTGAGGTAATAATATTCAGCAAAGGAAGAAGTGAGAAGAATGGCCACTGGGTAAGTAACCCAATTAATATGTCTGCCAGACTCACAGTTCTTCCCAGAGGCCATCATGGTTACAAGCTTTTTGTGTATACACCCAGAGGTATTCTATACATATGCAAGCATACTACACCTTTACTTTTCTTGTTTTAATCTAATAATCCATATCAATGAATGTAGAACTGCCTTCTTATTAACACCTCTATGGTATATTCCATTGTACGGATAAATCATATCTTATTTAACCAGTTCCTTTTGATGAACATTTAAGTTTTCCCAATCTTTCGAATATACGTTATAAAATACTTATAATAAATAATGCCAAATTGCCCTCTGGAACTACCATTTTGCTAGCCCTTCAGCAGTGAAATGATAGAGTTTTCTAAAATACAATATAGTAAATGGTATTTAGTCCCATAAGAACACAAACCATATTTACATGTTCTTGGAGAGACCCCAACCAATGCCAGAAAAAGCAACTCAGGTCACAAGCCTCAGCGACTCTCCCTGCAGCTATCAACACCAACCGACCACAGGAAACCCCAGATCCCTTCCCCCACCTGGTGGGCCTCGCTCCCAACCTTAATCTGTCTTGCCAGATGGCCAACTCTGCTATAAGCTTCTATTAGGACTATGTGCAAAATGCATCACATCCTAGTTTTTCTTGGTACCATTCAAAAGGTAAACCCCTCCGATCATCCATCATCTCTTGAATGGTCATTACCATATTATTCCATATTATCTTTGCTGACCTGCTCATTTAGTCCTACACCTTTCTTCCTACCCTTCCAAGAAGTGTTCTGAAATCCCACACTGTGATCAGCAATCTTCCCTATGACTTTTACCTAATTCTTTTTTTTTTTTTTATTTCGGCATATTATGGGGGTACAGATTTTAAGGTTTCAATAAATGCCCATTTCCCCCCCTCTCCCCCCAAAATCCTAATTCTTGTTATGATGCTACATCCATACTGTTAAGGAAAATTTTTTTTCAATGACACTTTATTCAGGACCATCATGATATGCATATGAACCACTTCAATGAGATTTTGCAATGGGGGAGAGAGTTGGGCTAAATTCTGAATACAGGATAGGCAAGTGGGAATTTATAGCCAAGGAACAGGTTGGAGGTCAGTGGATAGACAATTACTATTTTTTTTTTTGAGACAGAGTCTCACTCTGTTGCCTGAGCTAGAGTGCTGTGGCGTCAGCTTAGCTCA